TGTTCTCTCTATTATTATAAACCTTAAATGCTAAGTCCACTACCTGGGACGGACTCATCTCTGTGACGCCGTCTATCTTTGCTAGCTTTCTCCTTATGTCTGGAGCACTATTTGTGATGAACGCCACAGTGAGCACACGAGCATTTTCTGGGGCATCTGGATTTAAATCCGTGTGGTCTGAATACGTCTGAATAATCCTCTCAAGGAATTCAGATGGATCCTCATTAGCCCCTTGTGTAAGTTCCAATATTTTATTAAAATTTTTTTGTTTGGGGATTCCCTGCTCCAGTCCTGCCAATAAACATTTTTTATAGAGATCCAACTTCGCCAGTCCTCCATTGTTGGGGTCCCATTGAGGATCTACCTCTGGGACAGCAATCTCTGGCTTCGGGTTTTGGCTATCCTGTTGGTGGAGACGTGCAGCCTCTTCCCTGGCTTTCCTCACTACTATCCTCCGCTCATCTAAACCTAGTAAAACATGTAACATCATCTGTATATCTGCCCAGTTAGGGCGGTGGGAGAGAAAAACGGAGGCAAACAAGTTCGCCATCCTCTTAGGAGCCTGCCGGTACGAGGGAACAGAGTTCCTCCAAGTTAGGAGGTCCCCGGTGCTAAAAGGATGGTGCGACCAAAAGTACCCAGCAGGTTTCCCCTCTTCATTCACGCCACCTATCGGCAGCTGGCGAAGAGGAAACTGTCCTGCCACAGAACGGTCGTTACTGCCAAAATGGGTGCCGCTCCTAGTGTGGGGAGGAGACACCACGATATCTACCTCCCTGGAGGGCAGTGGAGGCTGTGAAGCCTCAGGAATCTGTACGGGAGGGGCCTCAGGAGGGGCCTGGTCACGTGGAGAAGGCCCTTGTCCTGAAGCCTCAGGAGTCTGTGCGGGAGGGGCCTCAGGAGGGGCCTGGTCACGTGGAGAAAGCCTTTGTCCTGACGAGTTTAAGGTATTTAGCATATGAATCTCTTCCTCTTCTAACTCTGCCCTTCTGCAGTCCTCATGGGAAGGAGAACATTTATCTCTTCTCTGCACCATTATTCTAGCCTTTTTCTGTGTCATATCCCATTCATGGAGGGCGGCCTGTATCTGGTCCTGCACACTTTTAAAGGCGGACTCAAAAACGTTACGATTTTCGTCCCTCACACTGCCAATAGCTGAATCAAAAGCCTGATTTTGTCGTTGCACTTGATCCTGCATGCTTTGAAAAGCTGACTCAAAAGTCTGATTTTGTCGTTGCAAAGCTGACTCAAAAGTCTGATTTTGTCGTTGCACTTGATCCTGCATGCTTTGAAAAGCTGACTCAAAAGTCTGATTTTGTCGTTGCACTTGATGCTGCACGCTTTGAAAAGCTGACTCAAAAGCCTGATTTTGTTGTTTCATCGCTAAGTTAAGAGCTTGAATTTGTTGCAGCACATTCTCAGTATGTGAAGTACAACCACTACTTCTCATAGAAACAAAAATGTAGCACATGGCGCCTATGCACATTACCAAAAAAACACCTAGAAGCACAGACTGCAAAGGGATGGCTTGGAAACCATTCACATATGTATACAGAATTAAAATCACGTGCCATAAGCTAGGTCTAATCCAATTATTTACACTTATCAAACTGGTGGTAATATTTAATGGAAAAAGGCTACTTAAATTCAAGGCCGGAAAAAAACTGAAAGAACTCAAGTTAGGGATTAAACTGCTGAAATTCATGGTTGAGGCCGCGTTTGGGTCAAAACCACACCCACAACGGCCGTATGTGCGGAGAAAAAAAAAAACTTTTCAAGACGTGAAACAAAGAGTTTCACTGCGAGTCCTGCAGACCTAATGCGCTTTTATGGTGACCAACGCAAGAAAAATTACTTTGGGCTGGTCAACCACGGGTGAAACGCAAACCACGTTGGACGCCAAGCTGTTATAGAGCAACCCCGATATTAAACGGGTTCCTGGCTGTGGGTCCTCACCCGCGCGCTTTAAAGGGACTTATGAATACTCTACTACAGACACACGCAAAAGGGTTAATAAAAGGTTTATTTACAAGAGAAAAAGAAATAAGGAAAATGTACAACTCAGGGAGAAAATAGGGAAATAAAGTCTTTAATGCGTCCTACCCGATCCGACGACCTGGACACCCAAAGTCACTCTCAGAGCTGGCCGGACGCTGTGAGCTGGCCGAGAGCCCAAAAATGGTTCCCTGGCCTGGGAGTCCCACTTTATTTCTGTTCTTTTTCTCCTCAATAAACTTTTTCATCTTCTAAACAAACTGCCTCTTCTCGCTTGCTTGCCTGAGCGTCTGCGAAGTTCCTGCTGCGGCTTCGTGAGACACCAACCCGTGGTGGGTCTAGCGGCTGGGGCTCAGCGCTGCCCTACAGCCTGGGATCCGTTCCTGGCTGGGAGACTAGGCCTGACAATTCAGGTATCAGTACGTTGGGCCATGTGGCCAGATCAAAGATGAAGTCTGAGGCCACTTGGCAGGCTCTTGTAAAACTCAGAGGTTCTTGTTGCTAGGACTTTGGACTTTCTTTTTCTTTTTTTTTTGGTGATGTCTGTCTCATTAGCATTTCTAAAGGCAATAATGATTCTTTAGTCACGTGTTGCTTTGTTTTCGACTACTTCCTGACCTCTGCCTGAGGGGTTTTGCAAGCCAACCATGGAGCAGTGGTGTTTAAATTAGCAAATGTATGCCTGGGTGTTAAGGAAAGAGTGGCCTTAAGCAGCAACTGGTAATTGCTGGTAGCCTTGATGGATTCTTGGAGAAAACTTGAATTTTTGCAAAGTCTGGATCAGAAAAATTGAAAAGATTTTGTCTAAGTCGGAAAGGATTTGCTGCTGTGAATTTTGCCTACACAATTTGTTTTGGGCACGTTTGCCATTTGAATTCTGGATTTAATTGCTGGTGTAAGATAAGATTCTAAGTTTCTGTTTCCTACTGAGGAAGGTCAGTTGTGGAAAACACTCTTTATGGTGCATCATGTAACTGTACCAGGTTTTCATACCTGTGTTGTTGTTGTCCCTCCCTGTAACACGGGGACTTCAGGAGAGTTAAGGAAGGCTCCAGAGTAAAGGGCCACAAATTCCAAAGGGGACCAGTCAAACACCCCAGGACTAAGGTCAACAGGACATTCCAAATTGAGGACAATAAAGAAAAAAAGATAAGGGCTGGGACACAGAGACTTAGTTCTGGGCACGGAGACATTTAGGCAGTGTGTGAGATCACAGAGAACTAACCAATCACAAAGAGACTAGTGGAGCTTTAGAATAATTAGGGAAGAAAGAGTATATATTCCCTGAGGCACGACTCCACTTCGACTTCCTTGCCCCTCCCTGGCCTGGTTCCATGGCCTGGGAGTCCCACTTAATTTCTGTTCCTTTTCTCCTCAATAAACTTTTTCTTTCTCTAAAGAAACCTGCCTCTTGTTTACTTGCCTGAATGTCTGCGAAGTTCCTGCTGCGGCTTTGTGAGACACCTACCCCGTGGTGGTCTAGTGGCTGGGGCGCAGCGCTGCCCCTGCAGCCTGGGATCCATTCCTGGCTGAGAGACTAGGCCTGAAAACCTACAATTCCAGTATCACCACCATTAGATTAAATGCATGCAGGATGGCTGACACCTGGAGTAGGGTGCGGGCATGCATAGGTGGGTACACTTGGGCTGAGACTGGGCTTATAATGGAAACATTTGAATTTGTTATTTCATAATTAAAGCCACAAGTTTATATAACATAACACCTTATACTATATAAAAGTACAGCTCAGTGATTTCTCCACAATATGAAAAAGGTAGGCAGCAATTATTTTACCCTGCTTGTTCTATTATAGTTTATTTTTTTACCTCAATAATCAATATTCACTGAAAATATACTTTCCTTTTACATTCAAATTAATTTATACTTCTCTCATGTGTTCAAAATTCAAGAAACAAGTACAGATGAGCACAAAACTGAATGTAAAATTCCAATAAGTCAGAGTGGTTTCCTTCAGGCATTGCTGTTGGTCCGTATCAAAAGGCATTGAATTGTCTTTTTTAAAATTCAGTATTACTATAAATTATTACCCTGTACATACTTTCCTGCTAGATTGAGAAACATCTACTCCATGACTGTATATAACATGAGCAAATTTAAGATAGAGAAAGACTGGATTCTGGAACAAAGATAGCTAAGCTCTGTTGCATGTGAGATTCATTTTAGGGAGTTACTAAACAATCAGCAGTAACAGTGGATAGAAATTTAGACATTCTAACAAGTTAATTACAATAAGCTTCTTGGACTCCTTTCTGTCTACATCACTTTGTATGATTATAATATAATTTGGGAAAAAACAAAAAAAAATCTATAGTTACACTGTGCTATTAGTCATCCTTTGGGAGTAACAAATTTAAATAAATATCTTTGTTTTCCAGACAATATATTGGTTCAAGAGTTATCTATATGTATATATATTAATATTTTTCATGAAAAGAATAAAAATATAATATTTTTGGTATTTAAAACAATGGATGACATACTTTAATGACTCCATGATATATCAAGAATATTTCTACACTTTTTGTTGAGTTGGGTATTTGACTTAAAAGTAACAAGAGATTGGGCCTCCCATGGTGGCACAGGCAGTTGAGTGCTATGCTGTGAAGCTGTCCGCAGCCTCTGTAGTACCTGGCCAGTGCCAGACTGCCTGGCAAGAATCCCACATGGCAAAGCAGACCTCTCCTGTCTCACCCGCTGCTCCCCTCAGCAGTGTATTTCATCAGTCTGCCTGTTCTGTTTGCGGCTCTGTCTCTGGTGAATCCTCTCACCCTCCCACGCATCTGACCTATACTCTGGTTCTTGTATAAAAATAAGTCTTTAAAAAAAAAAAACTATTTAAAGAAAGGAACAAGAGGTTTATTTTGTGAGAGATAAAAATGTGAGATCATTCATGCAGAAAAATTCAGGTTTTTAGAAAAATTGATGAAAAACAAATGGAGAATATGTAAAATAAGGAACAACTTTAAAGATGTTATGTTTCTGAGTCACAGCACAATCCATTTGTGTAAGAATTTCTCCAAGGCCACCATAGCATCTTTGTTTCTTAGACAGTATATAATGGGGTTTAATATTGGTATCAAAATAGTATAAAAAAGAGAAAGGAATTTGTCCATTCCTGTTGAGCGACTATTCTTAGACTTGAAATACACACAGATGCCTGATCCATAGAATAAAGTGACAACCATGAGATGGGAAAAACAGGTCGAGAAGGCCTTGGCTCTCCCAGTTGCTGATGGCAGCCTCAGGATGGTGGAGACTATTTTCACATAAGATCCAACTATCAGAAAAGAAGGTATACTGGCAACTAGTGTAGTAATCAGATACAGCAACATTTCAATCATGAAAGCATCCCCACAAATAAGCTGCACAACTGCAGGTGCTTCACAGAAAAAGTGATCCAAATGGTTACATCCACAGAAGGTTGAAGAGAAGACCATGGATGTGAATCCTATATGTACCGGAATTGCAGTGGTCCAGCAAGCAACTGCCATCTGCATACACAACCTATCATTCATGATGACAGGGTAGAGTAATGGGTTGCAAATGGCAACATACCTGTCATAAGCCATGGCAGTGAGAATAAAGCACTCAGTGTCTGCCAAGATCAGAAAGAAATACATTTGAATAGCACAGGACAGAAAGGAAATTTTTCCATGTTGTCTACAGAGATCTGCTAATAATCTGGGGACAGTAACTGACACATAACAAATTTCCAACAGGGAAAAATTCCTAAGGAAGAAATACATGGGGGTCTGGAGGGAAGGTTCAACCTTAGTTATTGTGATAATTAGGCTATTTCCCATAAGAATAAGGAAATAGATTATCAGAAATACACCAAAAAGAAATCCTTGAAGGTTGGGAACATCAGAAAAACCAATCAGGATGAATTCCACCAATGCAGTGTGGTTCCCCAGTGAGGAATTTTGTCCTGTGCATTCCATCTATGATCAAAATTTCAAGCCTAAGTAGTCAATTCAATCCTTTGGTTTGAGTTGCAAATTGCATATATTATATGACTGGTTTCATTCAAATCCTTTGATATGGGATAGATGTCATTTTCTTGTTTGTTTTATATCTTGGGAAATATACTTCAAATTCAGTATCCTAAAAGTAAAAGATGTTAAAAGAGATAATCTATTTTTATGATCATATTTACAATTATGGTTTTATCACTAACACTACAAAAGAGATGAAAATAAAGTAAGAATGAAGCATTAGGGAGCCTCTTCTCAAGCAGCTCTAGGTAACCTGGGCCTTCTCAATGAGAAATGATACTCTTTCCTCATTAATTTGGTCTCTAATTTTTTTCTGTATATTTTCTTTCTTTTCTGTATTGAATTTTATTTCTATTCTATCATTGAATTTATAGTCTGTTGATAATCTTGTACACTGATTTTGATATTTCTTCTCTTGGTCACTCTCAGGTAACCCAGGGGCAAGATGGTCAGTAAATCTCCACTGCCCAGTCCATTACAACCAAGCTGGCCACTCACCAGCTATTAGTATTGGAAATATGGCATCTTAGAAGCCTGATGTGCTCATTAAATCCAAAATAAGAAATAAATTAAGATTTTATTATATCTCTTTAATTCTAGCATATCCCAACAGTAATAAAAATTCAAAGATAATCCATACTTTAGGCACTTAGTAATAATTAGATAAGCTTATCCTTTTGGGGAGTAATTAGACAAAGAAAAGGAAAATGAAAGCATGTCAGAGAATTTGAACAGGGAGTTCAAACATGAGACCAGGTATGTGTAAATCTGCCATTGCATCTGTTGTTTCTATGTTTAATAGCAATTTTGACTAGCTACCCATCCATCATATATTATTAATACATAATATATAATATATAGCACACATTATATATCATGATTAATATATTCTGAGCATAATACAAACTCTGATGATTGCCATCCAAATTTAGAAATACACTAATTGCAGTGTAACTTATTCTAATCATCTCCTAAAATATAAGCATTTTTATGTCAGAATATGTTCAGTAATTCCTGCACTGCACTGAACACTATTTGTTATTCTATATTTGTTATTTCCATTCACTCTCTGTGGCATTTATTCATGTGAAACAATTCACAGATTATCAGCTCGTCTGGAATCCACATTGTCATATGTTTCGAACTATAGCCATTTCCATTTCTGTACAATATAAATCCCCCTTCTTCCACTGTGACACCAAGCTCCACCTTTCCCACAAATCCAAACCAATGAAACCATTTATAATTCCTACATTTTGTATCCTCGTTCTTCTAACCCTAAATTCCTTCCTTACTTTTCAGTTCAAGGAATCCTGCATTCTGTCTTTAGTTTTTCACATAACACCCTCAAGACAAACCTCCTCATGTCTCATCTGTGTTTATGACTCACATTTCTGAACAGGAGGGATCAAGGACCAAGGATGTTTGAGATTCAAAGAATATGCTCTCTAAACAGAAACCATAGTCTTCTCTTGGGTCTCTATGTTTGAGTCTCTGTGCCTTTATTTTCTCTGATTTCACAATTTGGTAGTTAATTTTCCATATCGTATCTCTCAAACTTTGAATATTTATAACACCTTCCAAATTTTTTTATTTAGGCTATGCCTTTGAAAAACAAAATAGCAATAACAGAAATGAATTTTCATTGACCCAAAATGTTTCAAATGTGTCAGGCAGTCGAACAATATATATTTATTAAGAATTACTACACTTTATTGTAGATAAATGTAAGTGCATGTTAAATATAAGTGTGTCCAATGATAATGACAGTGATAATAACAGTGGTGAATTGTATGAATTCAGTCATCTTTACAGAGCTTACCGACCAATGGTAAGGTCAATAGGGAAGACAGATGTCATCCTAGAAAGTGCAGATCTATGTGAAAAGAGTTACCTGGTCTTGCAGGAGGGCCACATTTCTAAGAAAGAAACATCAGTCTGAGATTTTGTCAGATCACAGAGTCATGCTGGTATTATCACCTATAAGGAAAGAGAATACACATTATTTCCAGAAAAATAGGTCCTCAAACTCATTCAATTCTTGACCCAAATGTCTAGTGTTTGCAATGTGTTTTAGAAATACCTGCTGATGGGTAATTGAAAATTATTTCCCAACTCACATTATTGCCCAGGTAACTAAAAAGTTCACTGAGCAAAGAACTTTATATTCAATTACATACAAAATCAGGAATATTTTGGTAATATATAGTTATCTAAACTATCAAGGCTTAATTTTCCTTGTTGAAAACATAGTCATGATAATATGTAACTAAGTGAAAGAGAGCTATTTGAGAAGTAGAGATATAATCTATATAAGAACCTGGCTTAAAAGATACAGTTGTAGTTCTGTTCAGCATTGTTATGAAGCTTATCAAACATATTGTATTTATCATTATTATTTTATCTTATATCCTTTCTCTTTATCTTAAAATTTGCTTATCTTATATTCAGTTCACTTTACCTAGATTTCCTCATGAATGCATCTGATTTCTGTAGCACTGTTAATATTCCCATTTTGCATATGTACCCAATGCATGGAGATAAAGAATCTGCCCAGTGTCAGGAAGCTGATGTCTGACCCAGGTGACTTCAAACTCAGCAGTGTGATCAGACTCCAGATTCCTAATCAGAACTCAATGGTTGTCAGAATGCATTCAATGAAAAGTGATTTTTGAATGCAATATTCTGAAAAATAAGAGTAAAACTAAGTTACATGAAACTTTCACAACAGTAAGTTGATTTCATCTCCATTTTATACATCCTATGCTGCTATAAAATGGGAAGCTGATATATAGCTTATATTTGAATTTAGAAAACTAATGATATTTGAATTTGATAACCAAAGAAAATATATTTTCAATGTTTTTGATTATTGACATCAAAAATACACTATAATAAAATAAACAAAGTAAAATAATTGCTTCCTACCTTTATCATATTGTTGAGAAATCACTGAGCTGCCCTATTTATTGTATATAATGCTATGTCCTATAAACTTGTGGTTTTAATTATGAGTAACTAATTAACTACTGTTTTTCTTCCTTGAACTCCTTTTTTACTTTAATCAACAAGGCACCTTTATAGCAAAGAGTGTCTCAATTGCAGTTGGGAATTTATGCTCCAAATATTGTTGCATTTTTAAATTCAAAGTTGTTTATCAGTTGTTAAGGAAAAAATAACCAAAGCTATCCCTTGTTGGATTAGCAATGCCTGTTCTTTCACTGGGAATATGGGTTGGGGAGCATTAACCCATAACCATTCCTCTGTCCCTGACTCCCCTCCCATCCTCTCGTCTCTGGGGTGTAAAGCAAGTGTCTGTTGGGAGAGGCTGTCGAAGGAGTTCACAGTCTTAACTTTGGTCTATCTGCATATAAAATCTGAGGGTACTAAATTTCAAATTGTCAAAAAATTATTACTTCTTCTGCTCAGAAAACGTCACTATGAAAGACTCCAGAGCTTGTGCATTATCTGTTTGTTTTTATGGCATTCTCACCATTGAGGATAGCAGTTAGCATTAATTGCAGGCATTTTATATGAATGAAAAATAGATTGGTTTAAGAGGATATAGTACACTGAGTCTTAAGTTTTATATATTGAGAAGGTTTGAATGTGAAAATGACTATTTTATAGTCCTTTCTCCTCAAGCTGCATTTCCAACATGGGATTGCTAGTACAAAATTCTAAGGCAACGGATGTTTTGGTCCTCTTTTTTTTTGTTTTGGTCCTTTTCAGAAAAATGTATAATGTAGCAACAAGAATTAGAAACTATATTTTTCTTAAGGCTTTAATTTCATAAAGTTAGATGTATGTTACCACACTACATCCACCAACAAAGCACAATTAATTATGTTAGAAAAAGATAAAATTCTGATGGATCCATGTTGACAGGATATATAATTTGGGCACATGTGTTGTGTTTGCCATTATTCAACCCTCTACTTTTGCTGAAGATATTTGATTGCTTTATTTATTTTAACATGTCAGGTATCTCTGATGTATGGGGGAGGAGACATCTCGACAGGTCAATTACTAGCAATGTTTTAAAAAGTCACCCTAATCAGTTTTTAATATAATGGCTCCTTCACAAATAATTTAAGAACGTCATTACAACCTAGTAACTTATATTTGATAACTTCTTTGAGAATGCTCAGAGAACAAAGATGCATTTTGTAAATATTGAATACTATTTTGCATTGAAAATATTTTTTTAAAGTTTATTCCCCCATTTTATTTCTACTTAACATGGAATCTTGTGTAAGGAAATATTTATGCAGATATTGTATTGTGTGTACAATAATTACCTCATAGAGATCTCTGATCATAATATGACATGAGTGATGGGAAAGGGGAAGTGAGTGAAGGTTTCAGTATTGGAAGGACCATCATGGAAAGTCAGGTGAACAATGCAAGAGTCTGAGGAGGATTGTGATGAGAGACTTAGAGAATGTGGATCATGGAGAAGAAAATTGATGTGGGAAAAACATGATTAATAATCACATCTTACCAAATTAAATTAGAAATTATCTTTCCTTAAATCTTCAAAGTTATTCTTTTTCAGTAAAACCTATAAAATTACTTAAAAAAATAAGCATAATTGATGGTTTCAATCTTATAAGACACTAAAAGTAACTCACAACAACAATTAATTTCTTTATTCCATTTTCAAATACTTATTCCCTACCATGTTTTAGCATTCTTTGTGTTCATTAAAAGTCTGTATATGTTGTGGCTTGAGTTCTATCCCTGGCCAAGGAGCTGACACACTTGCTCAAAAGACCCTACCTGTCTCACCTGCTGCTCTCCTTAGCAGTGTATTTCAGTAGATCTGCCTGTTCTGCTCCCCACTTTGTCTCTGGCACATGCTCTCACCCCTGCTCCTCCGACCTACATCCAGTTCTTCTACATCAAAAATAAATAAAAATAAAAATAAATAAAACCTGTATTAA